AGAAAGTTTAGGGGCGCCTGGGTGGCTCAGTCATTAAGCGTCTGCCTTCGGCTCAGGTCATGATCCCAGGGTCCTGGGATGGAGCCTTGCATTGGGCTCCCTCCTCAGCGGGAGGCCTGCTTCTCCCTCTCCCACTCCCCCTGCTTGTGTTCCCTCTCTCGCTGTCTCTTTCTGTCAAATAAATACATAAAATCTTTAAAAATAAGTAAATAAATAAATAAATAAAATAAGAGAGTTTAAAAATTTCTAAAAACAGGGGTGCCTGTGTGGCTCAGTCATTAAGCATCTGCCTTCAGCTCAGGTCATGTCGGATCTCAAAAAAAAAAAAAGTGGTCTGGCAGGCATTCTAGGTTCAAGGGTATAGCTTAAGTAATAATGCTTTAAAATATGTATGCTATTTCTATCAGTTTGTTTAGCTACTAGATAAATAAGATTTGTGTGATTTCATTGATTCCTTTGGCAAATATTTGTTCAATTCTTGCTACGAACCAGGTGCTCTGCTCAGCCCTGAAATTACAGCTGTGTGTGAATAAAACAGACAAGCCTTACCCCTTCTTGGTGGCCCTTACCTTTTAGTGGGGGAACCATACTCTCAGCATAATGAACATGCAAGTAGGTATCTGTAATATAATGCTAGACAGAGGCAAGTACTTTTAAAAAAGGCCAGAAAAGGGAATAGGAAGTGATAGTTTCTATTTTGGGAGTTATCTGAGAAGGCCTTTCTAGATAGACATTTAAACAGAGAGAACTGAGTGAAGTAAAAGTACTCTCCGTGCAAAGATACTTGGAGGAACAGCCTTCCAGACTGAGGGATCATCAAATGCAAGAGGCTTTGAGGAAGGGGCATGCTTGGCCTGTTCAAGCAAGGAGGCCAGTGTGTCTGGAGCCATGTGAGCAAGGGTAGAATGGTAGGAGATGAGGTTGGAGAAGTAGCCAGGGGTAGATCATGTAGGACCTTTAGATTTCATTCTGAATGTAATGTAAGCCTTTGGATGGTTACTAGTAAGGCGATAAGGTGATCTGACTTAAGTTTAAAGGATACTCTATGCTATGTAGAGAACAGACTCGAGTAGTACAAGAAAGGAAACAGGGCAATCAGGAAGTGGTGGTTATAGACCTTTGGGTGAGAGATGATGATGGACGTGGTAAGAAGTAGATTGGAGATGTATTTTGAAGATCGAGTCAACAGGTTAAGTTGATTGATAGCAGTGTAGAAGGGAGCAGTCAAGGAAACTCTAATGCTAAGAAATAGACACTAGACTTGAAAGAAATACACACGTTTTTACTGTGGCAGTCTCTGAGCAGTGGCCTTACTAGGAGCTTTTTTTTTTTCTTTTATCTGTATTTACCAGTTTTTCTATACCTGTAATGCTTCTGCAAAAAATATATAGATTATTTTAAAATTAGAGTTAATCAGAATACTGAATGTAGCCTAATTCTTAATGTATTCTCTTATCCCTTTTGATTTTGGAAAACAGTCTAAGTGACACAAAATTTCTAAACCTGTCTCTTTACTCTTAGTGATCAGCCTTTGTACCTTCTCCACATCTGAAGATGGTGAAGCTGGATATTCATACTTTGGCCCATCACCTTAAGCAGGAACGCTTATATGTGAACTCTGAGAAACAGCTCATTCAGAGGCTCAATGCAGATGTACTTAAGACAGCCGAAAAGTTGTATCGTACAGCATGGATTGCTAAGCAACAGAGAATTAATTTGGATCGGCTAATCATAACCAGGTAAAAAAAAAAAGGTTTTGAGGCATTAAATTTTATGAACCACTGTAATTCTGTGCAAACTATAAATAAATAAATAAATCTATTTCCAACAAAGTGTATGCTTTCAGATAGTTTGAATCAACGTTAAGGTGAGCCTTTGCTTATTTTGTCTGTTAATTAACTTAAGCCTTTTATAGAGAATTTTAACTTAAGCATTAATATTTTATACCACACCAATTAATTTTGTATCTTTGTATAATAACATTTTATTGTTGCTAAGAGTAAATTATCTTGTGTTCTTTTTTTTAAGTAGGCTCCACACCCAACGTGGGGCTTGAACTCACGACCCTGAGATCAAGAGTCACACACTCTACCCACTGAGCCAGCCAGGCGCCCTTCTACTTTTCTATTATTATTATTATTATACTAAGATTAAGACAGTTTATTTTGAATAATCTCTATACCCAACGTGGGGCTCAAACTCACAACCCTGAGATCAAGAGTCACATGCTCCACCAATTCAGCCAGTCGCTCCCCTTTTCTCCTGGTATTATTTAATATACAGTTGGCCCTTGAATACTGGTTTGACCCATGTGGGTCCACTTATATGTGGATTTTTTTTTTTTTAAGATTTTATTTATTTAGTTGACAGACACAGCGAGGGAGGGAACACAAGCAGGGGGAGTGGGAGAGGAGCAGGGAGCCCGATGCGGGGCTCGATCCCAGGACCCTGGGATCATGACTTGAGCCGAAGGCAGACGCTTAACGACTGAGCCATCCAGGCGCCCCTATATGTGGATTTTTTCAGTGGAGTACTATAAATGTATTTTCTCTTTCTTACGATTTTCTGAACAATATTTTCTTTTCTCTAGCTTACTTTATTCTAAGAATACTGTATATAATATGTATACAAAATATGTGTTAATCGACTATGTTATCTGTAAGGCTTTTTTTTTTTCAAGAGTTTATTTATTTGACAGAGAGAGATAGAGCAGGAACACAAGCAGGGGGAGTGGGAGAGGGAGAAGCAGGCTTCCCGCTGAGCAAGGGAGCCCGATGTGGGGCTCGATCCCAGGACCCTGGGATCATGACTTGAGCCGAAGGCAGCTGCTTAACGACTGAGCCACCCAGGTGCCCCTATCTGTAAGGCTTCTGGTCAACAGTAGGCTAGTAGTAGTTAAGTATTTAGGAAGTCAAAAGTTATGCATGGATTTTCCACTGCACAGGGGGTCAGTGCCTCTAATCCCCACATTGTTCATGGGTCAACTATATGTATTTCCATGTTTTGATTCTGTATATCTATTTCCCAGTTTTATTTATTTTTTATTTATTTTTTTTAAAAGATTTTATTTATTTGACAGAGACACAGCGAGAGAGGGAACACAAGCAGGGGGAGTGGGAGAGGGAGAAGCAGGCTTCCCGCTGAGCAGGGAGCCCGATGTGGGGCTCCATCTCAGGGCCCTGGGATCATGACCTGAACCAAAGGCAGACGCTTAAGGGCTGAGCCACCGAGGCGCCCCTACTTCTCAGTTTTACAAACCATTTTTTCACTTTGTGAATACCTTATTATTCTATTGTTTCAAGAAGTAGTTTTTAGCTCTAAGAGTGGTACTGAGGTATAATTTTGAGAAAAGGAGGCAGATACAGAAAAGTACATACTATATGATTCCATTTATGTGAAGCTGAAAAAAGCAGGACTGATCTTTGATCATGGAAATGAGAAGAATGGTTATTTTTTTTTTAAATTTTATTATGTTAGTCACCATACAGTACATCATTGGTTTTTGATGTGGTGATCCACGATCCATTGTTTTCATATAACACCCAGTGCTCCATGCAGTACGTGCCCTCCTTAATACCCATCACCGGGCTAACCAATCCCCCCTCCCCCCTCCTCTCTAAAACCCTGTTTCTCAGAGTCCATAGTCTCTCATGGTTTATCTCTCCCTCCAATTCCCCCCTCCCCATTTTTCCCTTCCTTCTCCTAATGTCCTCCATGCTAAGAAGAATGGTTATTTTTTGCTATTTTTCATTGAACCTGATTTACTAGGATGAATTTGTCCTCCCTTGTACTTTTTGGTTTTGCCTTTCTTCACATATTCAGATGCTGGTGGGCTGAAAGATTTGAGCAGTTCGGAGTGATCTCATTGCTAGGACTATAATCAATCTACATTTCCAGGTTTCAGTGGAATGTATGTATTGTATTATTTTTATTGATTTTATTGTTTTGCTTGTTTGCTCATTTTTTAGTGCTGAAGCTTCCCCTGCTGAATGTTGCCAACATGCCAAGATTTTGGAAGATACACAGTTTGTTGATGGATATAAGCAATTGGGATTTCAGGAGACTGCTTATGGAGAATTCTTGAGTCGGTTAAGGGAGAATCCTCGTCTTATTGCCTCCTCTTTGGTTGCTGGGGAGAAACTTAATCAGGAGAACACACAAAGTGTTATTTACACAGTTTTTACCTCCCTCTATGGCAACTGCATTATGCAAGAAGATGAAAGCTACCTCCTTCAGGTTTTGAGATACTTGATTGAATTTGAACTTAAAGAAAGTGACAACCCCAGGCGACTTTTGAGGAGAGGAACTTGTGCCTTCAGCATCTTATTTAAACTTTTTTCTGAAGGACTGTTTTCCGCCAAACTTTTCCTCACAGCTACTTTACATGAGCCAATCATGCAACTGCTTGTTGAAGATGAAGATCACCTGGAAACAGATCCAAACAAGCTAATTGATAGGTTCTCCCCATTACAACAGGAAAAACTCTTTGGAGAGAAAGGCTCAGATAGATTCAGGCAAAAGGTTCAAGAGATGGTGGATTCCAATGAGGCCAAACTGGTGGCTCTGGTGAACAAGTTTATTGGTTATCTGAAACAGAACACGTACTGCTTTCCACATAGTTTGAGGTGGATTGTGTCACAGATGTACAAAACCCTCTCCTGTGTAGATAGACTGGAAGTTGGGGAGGTCAGGGCAATGTGTACTGATCTCCTGTTGGCCTGCTTCATTTGTCCTGCAGTTGTCAATCCAGAACAGTATGGAATAATTTCTGATGCTCCTATTAATGAGGTGGCAAGATTTAATCTGATGCAGGTATGCTTTTGCTATTATCGTTAATATGGCATTCAGTTGAAAATCAGTTGAGTGAGTAGTGGGGTGGCAACAGAAAATATGATGACAATATGTATATATTCTTACCATTCCCTTTCCTCAAACTGGCTTAAACATTTGCTTCTTAAGAGATAAAAGCAGTTACAGGACACCTGAGTGGTTCAGTCAGTTGAGTGTCCCACTCTTGGTTTCAGCTCGGGTCGTGATCTCAGGGTTGTGGGATTGAGCCCTGCTTTGAGCTCCAAGGTCCGGCTCCACCTTCAGCGGGGAGTCTGCTTGAGAGTCTCTCCCATGCTGCCCTCCCCACCCCCCGCTTGTGCATGCACGCGCACACACTCTCTCTCTGAAATAAAAAAAGAAAGAAGAGCAGTTATATTGGGATTTAAAAATATTGTAGTCGTATTTTGTTAGTTTTTGGAGCACCTGGGTGTCTCAGTCTGTTAAGCATCTGCCTTCAGCTCAAGTCATGATCCCAGAGTCCTGGGATCAAGCCCTGAGTCGAGCTCTCTGCTGCGGGGAGCCTGCTTCTCCCTGTCCCTCTGCCTGCCACTCCATCTGCTTGTGCTTGCTGTCTCTCTCTCTGTCAAATAAATAAATAAATAAAATCTTAAAAAATATATTTTGTTAGTTCCCCAAAGATTTAGTTATTTATTTTAGAGAGAGAGGGAGAGCACGTGAGTGAGGGGAGGGACAGAGGGAGAGGGAGAGAAATTCTTGAGCAGACTCCCCACTGGGCTCAGATCCCAACGTGGGGCTTGATCCCAGGACTGTGATATCATGACCTAAGCTGAAACCAAGAGTCAGATGCCTAACCGACTGAGCCACCTAGGTGCCCCTTGTGTTAGTTTTTATTTATTTATTTTTTTTATTTTTATTTTTAAAATTTTATTTATTTGAGAGAGAGTGTGAGAGGACAAGTTGGGGTGGAACAGAGGGAGAGGGAGAAGCGACTCCCTGCTGAGCAGAGAGCCTGATGTGGGGCTTGATCCTGGGACTCCAGGATCATGACTTGAGCTGAAGGCAGATGCTTAACCAGCTGAACCACCCAGGCGCCCCTAGTTGATTAGATTTTCTAGAATAGGGACACCATCCCTTTCCCATGATTTCAAGACCCAGCGTGATTGAAATTATTTATACATCATCTTTTATACATTATATGGTAGCAAAACCTGACTTGAGCTAACATGAGACTGTTTATCACTGCTAGTTATTCCTTTTAGGGCATGAATACTCATGTTTTGCTGTAGAAATGCGAATACATTTGATTACAGGATGCCACCCTTAATACTGCCTATGTTACATGTATGCACTAATCAACCTTTCTAAAATCTTCAGATTTTAAAATCTGAAACTCTTCTGGACCTCAGTTTCAGAAAGAGGAGTTTTGGATTTATGTTAGCACTTTTCCCCTTTATCATGAGAACTACTGGAATCATGTTACTTATTTTTTTTTTTTAGAGAAGAGGAGTGGGGAGGGGCAGAGGGAGAGAGGGGGGAGAGAGAGAGAATCCTAAGCAGGCTCCACGCCCAGTGCAGAGCCCTATGTAGGGCTGGATCTCACAACCCTGAGATCATGACCTGAGCTGAAATCAAGAGTCGGATGCTGAACTGACTGAGCCACCCAGCCACTCCCATGTTATTATTTCTTAAGGGAATCTTTTAATCATATCCTATCCTCCAGAAATACTGTAAAGAAGAAACTGAGTTTATTTAGAATGTAATATATCTTTGGATGATATTTTTTT